AGTAGGACGAAGGTCGTCGGAACGAAACATTCCTTGGGCTAATGTCCAAAAGTAAATAAATCAAGGATACGGAGATAGAAATCTTTTATTGTGAAAAATCACTTTTTTTGATGGGTGATTCATGCATGATTGTCTCGGGTAAATATAATAGATGATAGCTTCAAAAAGTATAATTGTTGTTCTGAATAGGGTCATAAATTGAACGGCAAAGATTATGATATATGGAGTCGTAAAATATGGTAAGTAGAGCAAGATCTTTGATACTTACAATGCGTGAAAAAAGAAAGATTCCAGTGCCAATGAAATAAATGTAAGTTATGATGTTGATGATCTCATCTATGAATATGTATAATATACTATTGCTCATGCTACATGGACACACTTACAAAAGACATGGCGGGGCAATTGTGACTTGCCTCAAATAGTTGACAATCAAGTTTGACACATACAAAAAGCTAAATAATCGTAGTGTCAAGCAGCACTGTATGGTGGTGATGTCTGAAATGATGGCTCACCTTAAAAGTATTAGTTATGTTCTCTCTAATGAGCAAAAAGTTCAAGCAGTGATTCGGTCTATTTCCAATAGTTGAAAACTTTTGAAGGTTAATATAACCCAAATTCATAACGTCAAAACCTTTGCTGATGTTGTCCACCATATGAAGCTTGAAAATGAGCGGTTTAGTACTGCTAAAGTTATACCTAGAGCCTACGTAACATTACCATATGATAAAAAGCTTTCAAGCTTCAAGCATAAGAAAAACTAAGAAAAAGGCGAAAAAAGCAAGGTGACCGAAGATGTATCTCCAAGAAACGTAACCTACCACCAAGAGAGAAATCGGCATAACAAGAAGAAAGATAAAAGTGCGATGACGTGTTGCAATTTTCAGTGCTCATTCTTCTTATATAAGGTTTTTTTTCCAGCAACATTGTTATAAAAAATACTCTAAAAAATATTTTTTATTGTTTTGGACACCAATAACAGTTTCTTTGTGTTAAATTATAATTCTTTCACTTATGACTATTATGTAGACTAATGCATTCGGGTGTGCTCTTCATCTAATAAAAATATTGATGTGGTCACATGGTATGCTAGCTTGGGTCACATAGGGCAAAATCGTAGAATAGATTGGCAAATGAAAAACATTTGGTTCCTTCCAAATTATAAATGGCAAACTATGAACATTGTCTTGCTGGGAAAATTATACGTAAGCCATTGAAAAAGTTAAGAGCTAACTTGTTGCAATTAATCCATGCAGATATCCGTGATTAATTTAATGTGAGGGCTAGATCTGGTGTTTTGTGTTTCATCACGTTTGTTGATGATTTCACGCACTTTGATCATGTCTATTTAATTTCTCATAAATTTGAAGCACTTGAATGCTTTAGAGAAAATATTAGAATAAAGTTGAGAATTAATTAGGAGGCGTGAATATTATCAAGACAATTTGATGAATTTTATAATGAAAAAGAAATCACCAGGCAATTAACTATTCCTTACACATATAAGTGAAATGGTATAGCAAAAAGGAGGAATAAAATATTATTGGATATGCTAAGGTCCATGATAGTGCAGAAAAATTTACCTTTCTTCTTTTGGGTAGATGAGTTATTGATTGCAACCTACATATCGAATAAGATGGAACCAATTTCTTTCACTCCTTATGAGCTATGGAACATTCATAAACCAAACTTGAATGATCTATGACCTTGAAGTTGTGCTGCATATGTAAAAGATCTTTCTAGCAAGTTTGAAAAATTGGGTCTCAAAGGCAAGATATGTATTTTTATAAGATACTCAGAACACTCTTATGGGTATGTGTCCATTGGTGAACTAGAGGATGAAAGTGTTACTGAAATTGAATCATGAGACGTCATATTTCTAGAAAATAATTTTCCAAAGAAAGATGAAGTGAAAAATGGAGATCCTTTTTATAAAATGTTGAATTCAGATAATCAGTAAGCGTCTTTTGACACGTTTAATGATCAAACCGATCAAGATCCTATTCTCGATCCAAGTGGGAGTGGGAGTTCTCAATCCCATAATACTTCTGATGATTTTAAATTCACATACGAAAGAGGATCAGAAAAAATTCACCTAGACTTACTTATTAAATTGAAGATTATATTTTGTTGGTATATCGCATGGAAGTGAATGAATCAAATTTTATGGCTAAAGCTTTATCGAACCCTAAAATAGATGAGTGAATAAAAGTGATGAAAGAAGAATTAGAGTCCATGAAAACCAACCAAGTCTAGGATCTGTTCGACCTTCCGCCTGGGTATAAAGCTATTGAGAACAAATGGGTTCTCTAAGTTAAACACAATGTAGATAGGTCAATGAAAAAATGCAAGGCACGATTGGTGGCAAAAGACTTTAGTCAAGAAGTTGGAATAGATTATGAGGAAACATTTTTACTAGTTGTGAAGTTTACCTCAATGCACTTACTGTTGGCTATTGTTGCACGTTTGGATTTGGAATTACACCAAATGGATGTGAAGACAGTTTTTCTCAACAACAAACTTAACGAGGAGATCTACATAGAATAACCTGTAGGTTTCATTATTAAAGGTCAAGAAAAGAAGGTCTATAAATTGAAAAATTTATTTATGCCCTGAAACAGTTTTCAAGATAGTTGTATTTGAGATTTATAAGGAGGTAATCTTGTATAATTTTACCATGATCAATGAAGATCATTTCATCTATGTGAAGAAGTCCAATGGAATGTTTGTAATTATTTCCCTTTACGTAGACAATATTTTATTTACCAGTAATAATTTGGAGTACTCAAAAACTATCAAGTCATAGCTTTCAAAATAATTTGACATGAAAGATATGGATGAGGCAGACTATTTCCTTGGAGTAAAGATCCAAAGAAATTGTTCCTAGAAGTTATTAAGTGAATTTGAAGAAACTTAAACAAAGAAAATTTTGGAGACCTCAACATGAATAGTTGCAAATCCATAGATACTCCTATAGAAATAGGTGAAACTTTAAGCCTTGAAATGAGTCCAAAGACTGAAAAGGAAAGGGAAATTATGTCTTGAATTCCATACTTAAGTGTTGTCGGGAGCTTGATGTACGTTATGATGTGCACTCGTCTGGACATTTGTTATGTTGTATGTTTGGTAAGAAGGTATCAATCTAATCCTGAAAGAGATCATCGAAAAATAATGATGAAGATTTTCTGATACCTAAAGAGAATTGTAGATTATTCACTATGTTATAGTAAAAATAATTTACTCTTGAGAGAGTACATAGATGTGACAGACATCATGGCAAGTAAAGAAATAACAATACAACATATACCTATGCAAAAATAATAGTTGATCTGTCACGACCTCAATTTCCCACCTTAGGATGTCGTGAGACTAGGTATGCCTAACACATGCTGATTTAAGAACAAAATTGAACTATTTAATTATTTATCATAAACCATTAAATGACATACCTAGCCACAAACGGCCAATAGTTATACATTTCCCAAAAATCAGTAGTACGGAGTTATAAACACTACTAAAACACAAAAAAATAAATATATAATACTGTTATGGATTAAAATTTAACAGTAGCATAATAAAGTAAGATGGTGACTCCGAGGCCTGCAAACGTCAAGCAAGTATACCTTAAAGTCTCTAGCCGTGCAGACGCAACTCTCAACAACACAATTGGAATACCTGGATATGCAAAAAAAAATGTGCAGAAATGTAGCATGAGTATACCATAACGGTACCCAGTAAGTATCAAGCCTAACCTCGATAAAATAGCGACGAGGCCATGTCAAGACACCTACTAGACATATAAACCTGTTCAAGATTTACATAAGCTAACAATGGAAAGAACATCAATTTAAGACCAACGACGAAAAAATTATTGATTTACCACCAACAATGAAGTAATAGAAACATAAATGGAAACAAGTAGTAAACGAGTAATAAAGAAACAACATAATCAGAACACCGATGAGATGTAAATGAACTCAAATAAGAAGAAACAAACGGATAACAACTCAAATAATCAAATCGTTCCCAAGCATGGACTTACAACAAGAATTATCCCGAGGCACCACACCTCATAAACCACAAATCATGAACCACAATTTTCAAATCTTATACATATGGCACCTCGTGCCCACAATAACAATCACCTTCGCATGGCAAAGCCCTCGTGCTACCATGTACTTTGCAACCATAGTAAATATTAATTTAGATGAACGAAATATATATTTACACACCATAAACATAATAACAATCTTGAATAAGGCAAGGTGTCAAATAAAATAATGAGTGTATTTTAAAAATCAAGTTGTGATGACCCAAAAGGTCATCACT